CCGGACATGTCCGGGAAAAAGAGGACGTATGGTAACCCTAATAGCCATTCCTACCACCACAGGCCCTGACTCCTCTCTCATAAAATATAAGGCCTGGACCAATCTACATTTACTTCACCACCGATCTATAAATTCAGCAGAGAAAAAAATAAAAGACACTACACCACAAGATGGCACACTTTCTCTTCTTATTTTTTCTATTCATTTCCCCACCATTTATCATAACTCCCTCAGGACCAAGTAAGTTCCTTTGTGGCTACAAACTTCAGAGAAAAGAAGAGGTAACTTTTGCTACACGTGAAATGAGCAATGTTTGGCCACATTTTACGAACAAGGTGTACATCTTCCCTTTGCAAATATACAAAGACACTGAGACAATCTGATCCTTTCTATAATCATGTTTACTTGCCCCAGGTGTGGAAAACTACTTCCATGAATCTCATGGTGGCAGTACACTTGCCTACTCCCAGGAACAGTTGTGGTGAGGTTTAGTCTAGCCATATTACCTCATGTTACTATTCCCAAAATAAACATAAGATGGATCTTGTTCTCTTATCTGTCCATTATCAATTAACTGTTGAACAGATGGATTTTTTCCTTTATAAAGTATCATCATTGTTCTCTGTAGGCACAGGTCCTGCATCTCATTTCTATTACCCTGTGGGGAGGGGGGGAGATGCCCAAGGCACTGACCTCTGTCACTGATACTATACAATAACCAAGGAGAGAGACAGATTCTAATATTTATATGTCCAAAAAGCGGGGGGGGGACAGAAAAATGTAAATCCTTTTCTTATCCTTCAGTCCATTCTCTATTTTACATTCTTCTGCATGCTACATGGAGCTGCAGAAAGACCCCTACTCTAATGACCTCATTTTACAAAAAGGCCATTGACTTCCTCCAACCTCTGCCTTCTGGAACAGAGAAACTCAATAGCACCTCATCAAACTAACCTAATGGTGGCATGTTTTGTCTAGTGTGTATGTTTACAGCTGCTCACTAGTGGACACCACGAGAATTACTCAAATGGGGTATAATTTGCCCTATTGTGTTATCAGCAGGATGAGAGTCTCTCTTACCTTACGCTTGTGCTCTGAGGCCCCCACGTCAGCAAGGCACTTAAGCACATGCTTAACTTTAACCTGAGGCATCTTTGTGTGTGTATGTGATGTGTGTGTGGTGGCTTTATGTGTTATGGGGGCAGTTCTCATATATATGGGGCAAATAATATATGTGGGTGGTATATAATTGATGTGGCATTGCATTGTGTTGTGCTGTGTATGCTGTAGTAGGAGTGCTGTGTGACAGACAATGAGTAGGTACACAGGGATTAGTGGTACCGTGTTCGTGAAAGAAATATAGGGAGCAAGCATATGGGGAGGGCGATTGTACTTTGTGTGTGTAAGAGAGAGATGATGAGACGGCAAGTGGGGGTGTGGGGATGAAGGTAGTGCTTTGTGGGATGGATAGCAAGAAGGTATGGATGGATGGTGGCTGGGGCTGTAGGGCTGTGCTGGGCCAGGGGATGGGGACAGGGAGAAGGCCGAGCTGGGGGGATGGATGGATGGTGGGCAGGAGGGGCCCTGCTGCTGGGGGGGGAAGGCTGTGTGAGGGGAAGGAATGGGAGGGAAGGGC